TATGGTTCTTCGTCTACCTCTTGCTCTAAGTCTCTGTCTTCTTTTGGTATTGTCTCCAAGTGGGCAAACCGTTTGATTTGCTGTCTTTGTATGAAATTTAGAATTGCTTCGGTACCGACTTTATCTCGGATGACCTCATTCCTAAATTAATCGCTTCTGGTCACTCCTACAGCCTTTCCCAGAGCCCTCATTTCCATGGTTACTAATTTTCTTTTATGTTTTGTTGTGAGTGACCACGTCTGGCACTGGCAGCATAGGATGGGAATGAATATGCTTTATATGAGATGTTTCTTTGTGCTGATTGGGATTGCCTTACAATCTTCATTAATCATAATCTTTATTTCAGTGATCGCTACAGATCGGGAGTGAATGCTGTCAGCCATGTTATGGTGGCAGCCTACACAGATGCTATATGCTCTAAAATCGGAATGGCCGTCCAAGATGACGTAAAATGCATCACAGACACACAGACCATCAATATAGAACCCCCAGTAGATAACAAAGCTGAATCAAAAGCATCTGCCTCTGTATCGTAGTGAATAACTGCCTGATTGTAATTTACTGTACAAAGAAAACAAACAGACATTTGTATATTATATTTTGAAGAAATAACATATTTTGTGTGTGTGAAGAAAGTGTACAAAGGTATGCAAGCAGGGAAAACTGCTGTCTGGAAATGTGAATAGAATAACAATACTGCGTCCTAATGACGAACCCATTTGTGTTGTTTTAAAAGCCGACGCTGGCTGTTGCGGGGACCCTAATAAATCCCAACCTATGGGTTTAACGCGGTTTCTGGGACCTGTCCCTGGGTGATCGTCACCCAAAATGTGACACTTTGTGTCACCAGGTTGTTCAACGCTTCTGGTGGGGTTAAACGTCAGTCAGTCAGTGATTGTTAATATATATGTTTGTGTGAATGGGTACTATTTGGGTGGGTGGGGGAGAAGGGGGGGGGGGTTATGTGAGAGCGTGCGGGTTAAGGTGCGTGTATGTAGGCTAAGGTGTGTGTATGTAGGCTAAGGTGCGTGTATGTAGGCTAAGGTGTGTGGTTGGGGGAGGTGGGGGGTGTGTGAGAGCGTGCGGGTTGAGGTGCGTGTATGTAGGCTAAGGTGCGTGTATGTAGGCTAAGGTGCGTGTATGTAGGTTAAGGTGCGTGTATGTAGGCTAAGGTGCGTGTATGTAGGCTAAGGTGCGTGTATGTAGGCTAAGGTGCGTGTATGTAGGCTAAGGTGCGTGTATGTAGGCTAAGGTGCGTGTATGTAGGCTAAGGTGCGTGTATGTAGGCTAAGGTGCGTGTATGTAGGCTAAGGTGCGTGTATGTAGGCTAAGGTGCGTGTATGTAGGCTAAGGTGCGTGTATGTAGGCTAAGGTGCGTGTATGTAGGCTAAGGTGCGTGTATGTAGGCTAAGGTGCGTGTATGAAGGTTAAGGTGCGTGTATGTAGGCTAAGGTGCGTGTATGTAGGTTAAGGTGCGTGTATGTAGGCTAAGGTGCGTGTATGTAGGCTAAGGTGCGTGTATGTAGGCTAAGGTGCGTGTATGTAGGCTAAGGTGCGTGTATGTAGGCTAAGGTGCGTGTATGTAGGCTAAGGTGCGTGTATGTAGGCTAAGGTGCGTGTATGTAGGCTAAGGTGTGTGTATGTAGGCTAAGGTGCGTGTATGTAGGCTAAGGTGCGTGTATGTAGGCTAAGGTGTGTGTATGTAGGCTAAGGTGCGTGTATGTAGGCTAAGGTGCGTGTATGTAGGCTAAGGTGTGTGTATGTAGGCTAAGGTGCGTGTATGTAGGCTAAGGTGCGTGTATGTAGGCTAAGGTGCGTGTATGTAGGCTAAGGTGCGTGTATGTAGGCTAAGGTGCGTGTATGTAGGCTAAGGTGCGTGTATGTAGGCTAAGGTGCGTGTATGTAGGCTAAGGTGCGTGTATGTAGGCTAAGGTGCGTGTATGTAGGCTAAGGTGCGTGTATGTAGGCTAAGGTGCGTGTATGTAGGCTAAGGTGTGTGGTTGTAGGCTAAGGTGTGTGTATGTAGGCTAAGGTGTGTGTATGTAGGCTAAGGTGTGTGTATGTAGGCTAAGGTGTGTGTATGTAGGCTAAGGTGCGTGTATGTAGGCTAAGGTGCGTGTATGTAGGCTAAGGTGTGTGGTTGTGCATTGAGTGAGTTTGGTTGGTCTGTGTGCGTGTGCATTCTGGGTTTTGGTGTGTGGGTTGGGGGGGGGGGTAGGGGCCGGGTTTCAATGAGTGATAGTAGAGTGCATGTGTTACTGTGTGCTTGTGTGTTTGTGTGTATGTGTGTGTGTTGGTTTATGTATGGATGGATGGATGGATGGATGGATGGATGGATGGATGGATGGATGGATGGATGGATGGATGGATGGATGGATGGATGGATGGATGGATGGATGGATGGATGGATGGATGGACGGATGGACGGACGGACGGACGGACGGACGGACGGACGGACGGACGGACGGACGGACGGACGGACGGACGGACGGACGGACGGACGGACGGACGGACGGATGGATGGACGGATGGATGGATGGATGGATAGATGGATGGATGGATGGATGGATGGATGGATGGATGGATGGATGGATGGATGGATGGATGGATGGATGGATGGATGGATGGATGGATGTATGTATGTATGTATGTATGTATGTATGTATGTATGTATGTATGTATGTATGTATGTATGTATGTATGTATGTATGTATGTATGTATGTATGTATGTATGTATGTATGTATGTATGTATGTATGTATGTTTGTATGTCTGTCTGTATGTATGTATGTATGTTTGTATGTCTGTCTGTATGTATGTATGTATGAGAAGTCATTTAAAACCCTTGATTGTTACGAAAAGTTCTCCTATTCCAAACAGTTGTAGTAATTCATTGTTGCCACATTTCTCCCTAGAGCCTTTAAATATTTGTTTTTCACGTGTAGTTTAGTTTCGTTCCTGTGACGAGTTGTTACATGAGAACATTATTTTAAGTAATATGTGTAAGTGAAGGTTTTAAATATTTTACTGTAAACATAAATTTGTGTACAAATATTGTATTTACGTGTTGTTGTAATTGTAAATACATCTTACTGATATAATGGCTGATGAAAAAATATTTAATATACAATATATCAGCTATATTTTGCTTATATAAATGCACAGAATTCGTCGTCCCCAGGCCAAAATCATTGGTTTGAGTAAATCGCTTTTGAATATTGAGTTCTAATTGTGTAACTGGTCTGTTTGGAGTAAGAATTCACAGACGTGCCTTTGAAATATTTTCAAACTATGTATTCTGCATCATCATCATCATCATCATCATCATCATCATCATTATATGCCTTGGCATTAAGCACGGGTTTGACAAATTTCTCACACAAACATGGACCAAATGTTGTTTACTGTTTATTTTATTCGGTATGGTCAGGCTATCTAATTATAAACTCTATATTCCAATTGTTATTTCCTCATCACGTTTTTCAGCAGTCAATAAAGGATGAAGTTTATATCTCTTCATAACATATTCATAAATTCTTGACTGTATCATATTATGTCATGAGGAGCTGTGGAAAGTGTGGTGAGGACTGTTAGGGTCAATGGTAGAAAAGGCAGAGGTCGACCAAGAGAAATGATAGTGGATGGCTTAAGACAGTGGCATGGATGAATTGATCCAGAACACAAAAACCGGGATCTGTGGAGATGCATGAACGCCTACGCCAGTTGGCAAGGCACGTGATGATGATGATGATGATGATGATGATGATGATCATATTCTGCATATTTTGTGTTTAAAACATATCGAGCAGTTGGGATGAGTTAAGAATCAATACCACAGTTCTTGGGACATTCATGTAAGCATTCAGCACTGTTCCCCTCTTCAACAGTCAGTGCAGAATTCCATTGTCCAGTATACTAGTAGCAGTTTTAATCAACGATCGTGGTACTTTTTCTCTGAGTGTAGAGCATTGGTCAGTTCCCATCCTGGTTACTTACCGCTGCATACCATTGTACCAGCATCGCAATGATCTTTTTGCACACAAGCGTTGCTCATTTGGAAGCCGCCGTAGTGAAACGTCACAAGCTAGCTTGGTTTGGGCACGAGGTGAGACATGATTCGATTGCAAAGACTGTGTTTCGAGGAACATTGGGAATAGTTGAAGAAGAGGAGGGCAAAGAAGAAAGTGGAAAGACAACATCAAGAAATGGACAGGACTGAATTATCACAAACTTATTCATCAAGCAGAATACAAAGAAAGATGGTGGATTTTATGCGCTAATGCTTCCATCAAAACACCTCCACGACCTTAACGGGTCAAGGTTTATGTTATGTTATGTTTACAGCTAGACGTATGGATCCGAAAGTGGTGGGTTCACTTCCCGATGAAGCTCGACCTCCCCCCCCCCAACCCCTCCCCACCAAGAAAACAAAACTACCTTAGCTCTCAGGTCGACCCAGCCTTTAATGGCTGCCAGGTAAAGTCCTGGGAAGTAAAGGAGGCCGACGGGATCTTGACCACATCGCCTACCAAGTGGCGATTTAAAAAAATAAAATGTAGCTCAAGGCCTACATGCCTAGTACTTTGGGGGATCCAAAGGGGGGGGGGGGAGGGGAGGGTTGAGATATTGGTGTGCTTTCAACACTGAAGTAAAACATACATGCCGCAAAATAGGGAGCTTACTCAGCGTAAAAGTAGCAATACAAATCAGTTACCAACAGCTTTATTTGTACAGGACACCACTAACTGATACACAGATACACAGGTACACAGATACACAGGTACACATATACACAGATACACAGATACACAGATACACAGATACACAGATACACAGGTATACAGATACACAGATACAGAGATATACAAACTCACAAGATACACAGATACACAGACTTACACAGATACACAGACTCACACAGATACACAGATACATAGATATACAGAGACACAGACTCACACAGATACACAGACTCACACAGATACACATACTCACGCAGAAAAAAAAATTCAAGGGAAAAAAAAGGACATAAACTAGCCAACTAGTTCGCGTATTTGGGTAGAAATTTGCACTAATAATGAAATACACATAAAAACAGATTATGCTTTAAAAAACCTGAACCAAACACGGAAGTCTATTATAATTATTTAAAAAAAAAATAATTCCGATTTAATATATGTCAGTTGAAGTTGCGGAATCCCTTAAGATATGAAACGGAAGTAGTAGGAACTCCACGGGGAGCGATCACGCTGCAGAGAGCAGACGGCAGAAGTTGACTGAACACCCGAGGATAGATAAGAATGCTACCCGGAGATGGTTCAAACCCGCTCCAGCCAACGCCCTCTGCCACGCAGAGCGTTTCTATGGCAACAGAAATAGATTTTTGAGGTTTTGAACAACGGATCAACATAATGGCACACGAGTGTAACCCATAAGTGCTCTTTTCTTCCTCTAATTCGTCCGAAGAATCTCAGCACAGTGCACAGGCTCTGTAGCACCGGCGAGGATCCTTAAATAATTTGGGTGTATTCTTAAC